TCATTAAAACTTACCATTGCCAAAAATTTGATTTTATCCGACAAGTTGTTGCTGATACAGTATTCCATAAGAAATGTGATATGCGTCGGTACAGTTAAATCAAATGATAAAACTCTCAATATCAAATTTTCCATTTTTATCACTTGTGTTTTTGAATATGTATCATCAGTGATATATACAAATTCTCCTACATCGGGAGGATAAATCTCCTCGTATTTCCTATTAGATATACATATGTTATATTTTTATAAAATAAGAATTTCATTAAAAAATTAAAGTGTCAAACAGTTTATGTACAATGAGAATTGTATACAGATTTTGTCAAAGTATGATTATTCAAAATAAACTCACGCTGCAATAAACATAGCGGCAGTCCCAACAAGTTGTAATTTTGATCTTACAACACTCATGTATGATAAAAAGCGATCAATATACGAAATGGCCAAGTAAAGCGTTTCGTCCTGTAATCGATATTCTTCAGCTACCTCTACAAGCCAATCTATCAATATAGATCTCATTGAATACGTAATATCAGGTTGTTTCTTCATGTAACCAGGCTTTGGTCTATGTAGTGACTGAAAAAAGATAATAGAAATTTTAATATTGAAATAAATAAATATTTTCCAGAAATTTGTTCTCTAAACATAGAACGAAAGTTATTCTTTTCATAATAAAAAATATTTAAATTTATATGAAAAATATATTTAGATTAAGCATTATTATTATTAACTTAATATTAAATTTCAATTAACCTTTAATACACACAATGATTTTCCGATTCTTTACTACACACAATGGATTATTTGTACTTCAAATTAATTTTCAGCATTTTAAAATTATTTTTATATATATTTTAACATCTTTAGAAAGTAATTTGTACGGTTGTGTATTTAAAACAATTATCTATGTTATAACTTGACAATCTTAGTTTTTCGAAGAATAAAACACAAGACACGAATGACCCAATCGTGTGTATTAGGAATTAAATTTTGTTAAATCTTAATTAAATTAAATCAATTTATTTTAATAGGATATTTATTAAGATTTTGTAAAAATTCTTTGAAAATTTCCGGATTATTTCCAAGTATTTTTGTTTAAAATTCCAAGTATATACGATTAGAGAATTTTTTAATATAACTTTAAAATAAAAATGAGTGAAATTGGTATGCAACATAAATTAAAGTATTGAAAATTAATTAATTACTTTTATAATAATAGACTATATTTTATCATTTTCTACAATTAGAGTTGCAAAATCTATATAGCTTAATATAATGAATGAGCATTATAATGTGATATCAGTGAATTACTCTATTCTATTGAGTAATGTCTTCTGTCAACCTGATTTTTTTAGAAAAATCCGTGAGACACATAAGAGTGTACATGAATATATACGGATATTTATTGCGGACCGATTGTAATTTTGCATTATCAAGAAAAAATGGTCACAAAGAAAGTTTTCAGAAGAAGACAGAATTTAAATTTAAAAAGTAAAATTCCAAAAATTTCCGAGTCCCAATAAAATTTCATAAAAATCCCTGATTTTCAAGAAATCCCCTGAAAATTTCAGGTTTTTCAGGATTTTTCAGATAAACACCTCATTTAATATTAATTTATACAAATTAATATAGAATAAAAACAAGTGTATACCTCTGATGTTCGTAAATAATTGTATATATCAGCTCTATATTCATCTACATCAAAGATATTAATTCTCAATTCCTTATTACATTCTCTTCTGAGTCTATACTCCTCGTTGGAAGAATTGCTATATGTGAGAGATTTCTCCAATGACATCCCCACAGACATAGGACTATCTTTCGATAAGATATCATTCTTCTTATTTTGATCGACTTCTTCGATCTTCTTATGAAACACATAAGTAGAAGTGCTATCTATGGTATGTATTTCTAATCTTGGCTGTTCTTTATCAGACTTTGCTGTTGTTTCTTTTACTTCCTTGTTCTCCTTTGAGTTCCTAAGGGCAACAGATGTCTCTTCTTCTAATTTATCCTCGTAAATTTTAAAGGTTGGTTCCTCTTTCTTATAAAAGTCTTCATCATAAATTTTGAAAGACTCAGATTGCATAGGTATAAACGGTTTAGCTTTGATATACTTCTCATCTTTGTAGATCTCCTGCTAAAAGAGAAAGATAAAATAAATTCTATACACATATAAATTTTTGATACTTAACTTTCTGCTGCAAATCATTTAGCAATAATAAATACTCTCCTTGAAAAATAATCCAACTAAGGCAAGTTTTTTAATTCATAATATACAAACTTTTACAGAGCAAAATTAAAAAACTCACCTTATATGCTAAATTAAACTGTAATAGGCTAAAGAGAGGCTAACTTAATCTCTACGATCGCAACGGAGAAATCCGCCAGAGGAAAATAATTATCAAGATTGCAACTAATAAATCTCTATTAATCTACAATATTAATCTTAATTTATAATCGTATCGAGATGGATTCTTTCAAGAATCCAGTGAAGGCGCGAAAGGCACGTTCGACATGTCAGAAACGTGGCTCGCAACGTCTATCGCGGTTTCAACAAAGCGAGAGAGACGAGAAATGGCTCTACGTACAGGCTTCGTTCCATTCCGAGGGCAATTGTTGTGCAGGACTCCGAGCACGGCGCGTTTCGCCTGGTGCAACACTTGTGTTTGCGTGCTCACAGCAGCGGCGGCGGTGGCCGCTGTAGCGGCGAGGTTTTCCTTTCCACGTCCGCGTAAATCGCCGATAATCCGATTCTCCTGATCCTCCTGGTGTATCCTGATTGTAGCCATTATCGCCGTGACTCGCGAGATGATATCCCTCACGTACGAAAGAAATTCAGACGTCGGGTATGGAACTGTAGGACTCCACCGCCGGGACGAGACACCGGGTGACAATAAAAGACTGTGATAAATAAAAACGTGCGCACGTCCGTCCCGGTTTCTTCGCGTTCCGCGACGAAACGTAAATGCTCCCGAACGTTACTATAACTGGTCGGGCATGACAGGAATTGCGGGAAATTCGGGCGCACTCGGCAACCAACGGGTCACGGTTGCCGTTTGATTTCAAACAAACGCAGTCCCAACAGCTGGCTGGACGTTATCGAGAGCGTTGGGCGAAATTGGCCAATGGCAAGCGTGGGAAACATACCGGCCAATCGCAGCATTGCTCATTTGACTGCGCGTTCGCAAACGCGTCCTTTTGCGCGTTCGCGCGTTCGCCGATTTTAAAAGCAGGAGCACTTAAGTCCTAAACGCAATGCGAGGCAACAGTGATAAGAATAGCGATAGGAATGGCATAGAAATAAGCGATATATGATTGTCGCCTCCCGTTGCACAATGCCGTGAAAGAAATAAAAATGCTAATCAATCTGATCTCGTATATAGACTGTAGTATATTCAGATATTCTTCCATCTGCTTCAAGGTTATAGCACATATAAACAGATTAGCTGGGTTCAGCGGAAAAAGTAGCTTTGCAACTGTTGTAAAATTTTTGAATATGATTGGTTCATACATTTAGATCTAGTGAGGAACTAAGGGCAAGACCAATCATATTACAGAATTTTACAACAGTTGCAAAGCTGCTTTTTCCGCTGAACGCAGCCAATGGGTGCATTCAGTACTACACCGCTCACTAAGCGCTTGCATCTTATTGGTATATTCAGTTAGAACTAAAAATATAGACCAAACAGATACAAGAGCGCTCAGAGAGCTCTTGTATCTGTTTGGTCTATATTTTTAGTTCTAATGGAATATACCAATCAGATGCAAGAGCGCTCAGTGAGCTCTTGTATCTGTTTGGTCTATATTTTTAGTTCTAACGGAATGTGCCAAACAAATACAAGAGCTCACTGAGCGCTCAGTGAGCGGTCGTGGTATTGAATGCACCCATTCAAGAGGGTCGCATTGGCGTCTTAAGACATTACTCAAGATGGTCTTTAAATAAGAACCGACTATGAATACCGGCCTTAATGGTTCCTGCACACTGGACGCGGAAACGCTTGCAGCGCGGCAAAATGTGACGCGGTAGCCAATAAGCTTACAGCTCCTAACATATTCATTGGTTACCGCGTCGCATTTTGCCGCGCGGCAAGCTGTTTGCCGCGTTTTGTGTGCAGGAGCCATAACGGAATTTCCGTGACCGTAGCGCCTATATCTATATTTCGGTCAAATACATAATATTGTAATATTTAATTAAAAATGTTTGGATGACTCACAAACCTTTTTATTTGCATTTCAAAACTCTTCGTACAAAATACAAACGATTTAAAATAATAATTTTTATAACCGGAAGTTTTATTCGGTCACGTACATACGAATGCAAAAGCCCACTAAGCGGCTAAGTTTTAAAAGTTTTATAGTTCAAAAGACTAAACTTTAAGCAAACCAGTTATAATTGAATTTGCAATGAAATTGAGTTCGAAAACGGCAATTTTTTTGTGTGAATTGGATTAAATTCTGATTAATTTAATGGGTGATTAATAATTATTAGTAATAATTCTTGTTCTATACTTTGCTATTATAATAAATATTATATAATTTCCTGCTGTTTAGTACGGGAAAAATAATTAGAGTAGACGAATTATAATATACTTAAAAATTTGATTTTAAATAATTATAAATTAATTTCTGATTATATATATATATATATTATAATTATATTAAAGTTTGTTCGCTTTTAAGAAGTAAGTGAATCGCGCCTTATATATTACCGTAAATACCATATATAATACAAATATGTAAGCATATCTAAGACTTTGCTTTTTATCTGTTCCTTCTGTTTATAATGTACACGAAGATATTGACTGTATTGACCTTTTCGAATTTCGAAGGCAGGTGCCATACAGAAAGAATAAAAGTATCAGTTACAGTGCTAATTAAAACAGTCTACTGGAAAGGAAGTTGAAAACGATTGAATATGTTATTGTGAATTCTTCGATCGGATTGTATTAAACCAACAAATCTAATTTTCGTTCTGATTTTCTGTGTATCGATACAATAATGGAGATGGAGATCGATGCAACCGAAAACGATGATTATCAAGTTGAATATTTAGAGACACCTATTAAATCGGAGAACGATTTGATGAAATATAGGTAAAATGGGAGCAAATATATGTACTTCACAGTAATAACCCTTATAGAAATTTTAATACTAGTTGGCCAATTAATTACTTATTCTCTGAGTATTATTAAAAGTATACTATTACATTAACAGCTAGTACTTTTAATATTCAAAAGAAATGATTAATTGGCTATATACTAGTATTAAATTCCTATAAAGGGAATACAATTTCGACTGATATAATATGAGAAACATATTAATTATTTATCATAGTATGATGACCTCCTTTGAGAGAAATGTTACATCTTTTACAAGAAACAATTTCTTATATGATCAATAATTCTCAGTGATATGTCTTAGCATTTCATCATATTTGTTTTGTTTTTAAAATTTAGAGTTATTAGATTACAAAACGGGTTAACAGCTTTGTTAATATCCGAGAATAAAAACGAAGATGAAGATGATAGTGACACAAACAATGAAGACGATGATCCTTCAATTAAACGAATTAAAAAAGATGAATTGACGGTATATACAAAAAAATATAATAAAGTGATATGAATTACACAACTAACAATAAATAATGAAAAAAATTTATCAGTTTAAACTGCAGGATCTATAAGTGCTTATAAATAATACTTTGGTGTGAATGTATATATGTATCCAGCTGTGCAAACTACTCATCAAAATCATTTTCAATCTTGAAAGACAATCCTAAACTAAATTACAGGATAAATTAAATTGATAAGCAATTTAATGATATTGATGTTAATTATAAGCATTTTAAACAGTTGTAAATAATTTGATATTAAATAGTAAGTCATCTTGTAATAAACTTATATCAGCATCAAATTATTTACAGATATTTGTTTATTACCATTAATATCATTAAGTTGCTTATCAATTTCATTTAGGATGTATTACTACTATATCCCATTTCAGGATACGTATTATGGAACAGATTTATTAGAATGGATTCTGATCGAAATTATTCCGTTTTTCTTAGACGTAATAGAAATCTAGGAAATAATTGAACAATTCTGAGGATTGCACTTCAAGACCGAAAACAATTTCGGCGTACAGTTTGCAGAGGACATGTATAAAAATTTACGCCGAAATATTTAATCATTAAGATCCAGCTCAGACCAATAAGACAATTTAATTAGTTTGTATTTTAGATCATTCCTTGTATTTTCCTTTTATATAATAATTAAAAGTTCATTAGAATTGTAATATTGAACAAAGACTTACAAAATCATAAAAAGTATCTATACCTCAGCCTAAGATTCGTGTATTATCAGTTTTATCAGAAATTTTCGTTTGAAAAATTTGATCTCTACTATCTACAAGATATTTTCGTAAATTAATTTCTAAATGTTCAGTTTGAAATTGTTTACGGATCATCCTGTTAATTGTGTTCATGTTCGGCTTAACACCATATGTGTAATATGTGATGAGTAAATGTGTATATATAAATTTTTTTTAAACATAGGTAGAATGTGGCTTAAACGTGGGAGTAGGCAGATTCAGTAATACAGAAATTCCAGACATAGCACATTTTGTTGAATATATGGTTTCTAGAGGATCCGAAAAATATGACCATGTAATTAAAATATGATGCGTGAATTTATTATAAAATTTATTCGTGTATGTATAAATGTTTAAGTGTCATTTTACTTGCAGGAAAATGATTTTATTGAATTTATCGATGAGTATGGCGGATGTGCTAATAGTATGACGGATTACGAACATACAACATTTTACTTTGCCCTGGTGAAAATTTTTCTCAAAACTTTTTATATAATTTTTCAGAAATTTTATGTAAATGTTAGAATTTTTCAGAATTTCTCAATAATAATATTTTTTTAGAAAATTTCTCAGATTTAAAAAAAAATACAAATTAGAATATTTTTTAGAAGTGTCGAAGTTTACGTCTTTTCTAAAATTTTACATTTAGAAATATTTTTAGGCTGGTTATTCATTATTTGATTATTTTGTGATTAAGCTTATAATCTGTAGATGTTTCACCCAATGGTCTTCATAACATATATGAAATCCATTCGATAAAATATCAGGTTGAACCTAACTACAAATTAATCAGATAATGAAAAAAACCGGACCTTAGATTTATAAAATTTCTCAATGTATAATGTTTGAAAAAATCTTATTAAACCTTATCAAATCTAAAGAAATTTAAGATATTTTTTCAAAAATACAGACTAAGAAATTTTAGAACTTTTAGAATATTCACATATAAACATTCTAAGAAAAGATGTAAACTTAAAGTTTGTTTGCGTCCAACATGTTCCAATATGCTCCTACCATAGCTCTTATTCACTCCAACGCGCTTGGTAGAGTGAGTAGGAGCTATAGTAGGAGCATGTTGGAGCTTGCAACGCGAACAAACCTCTAGTAATTCTGAAAAGTAATCTAATTAATATAAAAATAAAAAAATTTTTATTAGAATGGTATTCAAAAGAATCAATTGTTATCAGCTCTTGATCGTTTTGCTCAATTTTTCATTAAACCCTTGATGAAGAAAGATGTCATGAAGCGGATGGTAATGGCTGTAAGAAACGGTATATAAATTATAATCGTTATACTGTTGCCGAAAGTTGCAGTCTTTTTAATGTACCATGTTCATACAGAGTTGCAGTCGTCTTTAACTTGCGATATGTCCAGAAAAAATCAATTATTGTCCTCTTCCGTGCCAATTGGTCATCCAGTCAATAAATTTCCATGGGCCTATACAGTAATATTGAGCAATAATGTGAATGACAACAAATTAGATAAATTATACGATGAACTGCACAAATTTAGAGAACGCCATTACAGCGCTCACAGAATGAAGTTAGTTATACAGGTAACTTATCGTTTGTCAAAATGAAAATTATTGATTAAATAGGAGAATATCATTGATTAACTTATTAAGTATATTTAATTCATAACATACAATACATAATAGTATTATCTTTTTATAGTCGTCATTACCACTAAGTGCATTGGAAAAATATGTTATAAAGTTCTTTGCTAATGTACCAAATAATGGGCTGCCCCCCGATGACTTTACCAAATTTAAAGACAATATTCCTTTTAATACTCCCGCTTTCCGAAGAATATATAAAGTTAGACCTGTCAAAGATATCAGACAAGTATGTGACAATTGAACACATAAATCCAAAAAGAACTATCTTTATACATCCTGAATAAATTTACAAAACAAAAATTGTCTTTTACAGCTACATATAACATGGGCTATACCTTCACTACTTCATTTGTACAAAAGTAAACCACATAGTTATATCTTATGGATTATTAAGCATGAAGGAGAAGGTTCCTTAATGAGTTATCTACGCAAGAAACAGTGGAGCTCCGATTTTTTACGTGATAACTCTGAAGACGATTTTGAACAAAATTCTATATATACATTATTCAATTTTATTTTAGATTTCTCTTCAGAGGGACTAGAGCATCTGGTCGAAATTCTAAATGCGATATTTTCATTTATTAATTTATTAAAGAGGGAAGGTCCGCAGAAAAGAATTTACGACGAGATTTATAAGATTACAGAAAATAATTTTAGGTAAATCAATTTAAGGAATAAAGAGAGACGTGTAGAAAATAAAACCCGATAAAATATATTTGTAAAATGTCACTTATACTTGAAAGTCTTTTTTTAGATTGTTAGGTAATAATGATTATGTAGAGTGTTTGTGTAAGAATATGCATTTATATGAACCGCGCGATTATATAACTGGAAAGCAGAATTACTTCGAATATGACCCAGAAGCTATACAAAAATGTTTGGATTATTTGGTGCCAGAGACTGTGAATATCATGATTTTCAACAAAAATTTTGATTCTTTTGAATTAACTAAAATCAATCGGTGGGCCAATATCGTCTACGAAGATATAGAGATACCACAAAATTGGATCAAATGCTGGAAATCCATCGAACCATTGCCAGATTTTCATTTACCATTATCAAATACATTCGTTACTAACAACATCCCTTTATTATCGATACCTGTGGTGGCTCCGAAATATCCTATAAAATTAGTTGAAACTTGTTTATTGCAGATTTGGCATCACCAGAAGTTTAATTGGCCGAAATGTTATATAAACTTCCAATTTATTGTTTATCCTCTGGGATTTCAGTCGCCAAAGATGTAAGTAGTATAAACATAAAAATTGTAGTAATACTACATATTGAGTAGTAATTGTATTAAATGTAGTTAATGTACTATTGCAGATCCTATGTACTAATTTCTATCTTGTAATTATCAATATTGTGATTTTTATATAATATCATTTGTATCTTGTTAACAAAAAAAATATTCAGATTATATTTAATGACATTTCAGTAAAGCTTTCATGGAAATGTACTGCAATGTATTAAAACGGATATTGAGGACAAAATTATTTCCAGTTGTAAAGGCTGAGATTGAGTATGATATCACTGTCAGTGAGATAGGTATTGTAATAGAAACGAACGGATTTAACGAAAAATTACTAGTAAGTATAGTTTCAAAACATGTGTTGGAATTCTAAATATAATTTCAAGGTACATCAATACTTTATTTATATATATATTGCAGAAATTCTTGTCAGTTATTGCAAAATACATGGTGAACTATTCAACTATTGTTACGAAGCCTTTGTTTGAATTTGTCAAAGTGCAACAACTTGAAAGATATTATAACAAATTTATGAAACCTGAAAAACTCATAAAGTATTGACTATTTATTATCTAATATTATTACAATATTATGCAAGAGTTATAAAATTGTACTAAAATTGTACAGTTATATATGCAAAAATTATTAAATTCTTACATAAATTTAAGAAAAATTTAATGATATATATTAATCATCAAAAATAATATTATAAAATTAATTATGTCAAATTATATTTCTGATTAAAATCAATAATATATATATTTTTATTCCTTTTCACAGGAACGTGAAATTACGGATACTGAAGGAAACTATCGATTATACACATATTGACACATACATTGCTCTACGTGATATTAATTTTGAAGAATTCCAAAAATTTGTGAAATCTTTCACCGATCATCTGTACATTCAGTGTCTTGCGCAAGGCAATATAACGAAGGACAATGCGATTGAGGCTTTACAGCGATATATGAAAAAGCTAAACTGTTCTCCATTAGTCTTTAGTATATTCCAGATGAGAATGATTCAGATACCCTTGGGCACATCTTATTGCAAGTTAAAAAATATGAACAAAACTGATACGAATTCTGTAATAACAAATTATTATCAAGTCGGTATCAAGTCGATGGACGTATCTGGATTAATTGATTTGATAATCGTAAGTATTGTATATATATAACATCGCTTTCTCTAAAATGTATCGTTTATGAGATATTTGGGTGTATCCAGACTTTTGGCCCACCCTGTATATTTTGAATATGTTGCCATGGAATTCTTGGTTTAATATTCATTATTTATATTTATTTTACGTTTAAATTAAATAAAATATGAATAACATCTTCGATTATTGTGATCGATTTTATCCGTACATCACACTCATCTGCAGTATATCTTTTCAGATTATAATGCAAGAACCATTAAAGAATCAACTATGTTTTCAAGAACAGCTTAGTAATAAGATTTTCTGCGTTCGTCGAGATGACAATGAAATTTTAGGATTTTCCATTACCGTTCACATTGAGGCACATAAATATACAACAGAACACGTGGACCAGCGGATCGAGGAATTTCTGAAGTCATTTACTAATATGTTAAATGTGTTCTCACAAGAGGAATTGGATATTGTCAAGCAAACGCTCATAACAAGAGATTTGGAGCAATGTACCAGTATCGAGTTTATGAAATATGAAGTTGATAAAAACTGGAGTGAGATTACGAAGCAGCATTACATGTTTCATAGATTCGAGAAGAAAATGCTTGCAACAATGGATATAAAAATCAATGAACTACGAGAATGGTTTACATACGCACTGAACGAAAGTAATTTCAGAAAATTAAGTTTACATGTGGTAGGAACTGATCCAAAGGAAATAGAAGCTAGAGAAGCGAATGGTGAGTAGATAACTGTTTTGGTTGAATTTTGGTCGATATATTTATTTGTTTTCTGATTTTGTGACATTATTAATTGTTACCTTGTATTTTTGTTGTTATCAGATTATGCTTGAATAAATTACTAAAACAATTAAAACAAAATAAATTAGTTGTAGATACTGCAATGGATTACAATAAAAAACAAGATTTTGTTTTGGAATATATAACTGATAATCAACAACGTAATGAAACTGAAGGTCGTTATATTACGAACATAGAACATTACAAGAAAGATCTCTCATTTATTCATGCGTCGAAAAACTGACAGATTTTGTTTAATCTACTTCTACTTCTTTTTTATGATAATAACGTTCTTTTTTACTTATTGAATATTTAATTTTAATACTAATTTTTACATAAGAACAATAATAATTGCAATTAGTTTTTTATATTTATTACTTTTATCTTTATTATTTTCAATAGCTATATTATTATAATAGCTAATAGCTAATTATAATTGCTAGTTGTAGAAACATTTTGCATCTTACAATATGAAATATTCGAACTAATAAAGTTAAAAAAATTATACAGATCTCTAATTAAAATCAGAATTTGTAACCTTAATGGGCATTCTACAATAAGCCATTAATCATAAATCAGAAGTTAGAAGCTGAAAATTGACCAATCACAGTCGTCAATTTTTAGTTTATTTTTTTGCTTATAAATCTGTACTGTCAGGAATAAATACAAGTACTACTTGTACATACAATACATACTTGTACATGATCATCAAATCAATCAAGAGCTCGTTTATTTTTATCAAGACTAATATGATTCAAGGATAAAAGCAATTTTAACAACACAATGGAGAGCAGAGTACGTACTTCGATCTTGCCTTTCTTTGCGTTACTCATCGTCTTGCCCTTGGCATTCCCGTTGCCTGTGCCGTATCTAACCCTTATAGGCGGCATCATCTGTGGTAGCGACGGCATCCTTTTTTTAATTTTTTTAATTTTGCATTTTTGAAAAAATAATTGCAATGTTCTTTTAGAATATAATTACCTAGGAAAAATGTTTCACATATATAATTATATACAATTATATAAAATTATGTATAATTATGTAAAAAATTGACATTCAATTTATATATTACAATTATACATAATTATTATATATAATTATATATGAAATACATTCATATATATAACATTTTTTCTCAGGATATTATTAGCATTAATTAGTAAAGTGCTTAACGTTTTAATATTTTTAACGTTTCAGTTAAATGAAGAAAAGTTCAATATTCACTTATATATTACACATCATAAATTTATATTTTGATGAATATATAAAATTATTTGTTCTTGTAAGCGAGAAATGTATATTTGACTGATATTATTAGGCCTGTTCTTTTTGGCTGAATTTCTGCATCAGTTCATCTTTCTTCTTCTTTCTTCTTCCTGAAGAGAAAAGGAAGAGAGATGAATTGGTGCAAAAGTTCAACCAAAAAGAACAGGCCTATTTTGTTTTTGTATTATTGCTTACTATAATAATATAAATCCTTGGTTTATATTCATTTGAATTTAAGAATAAATGAAATATGAATAATATCTCTTCAATTATTACGATTGATTTTATCGCGTCATCATACTCATCCGTACAATGTATTATACATCTTTACAGATGATAATGCAAAAATCGTTAACAAATCACCTACGAACCCAAGCACAGCTTGGTTATGATGTTTCATGCAATCGTAGAGAATTGTCATCGGAATTTTAGGATTTTTCACATACTGAGCACTTATAGCGGATCGAAGAATTTCTGAAATTGTTTAATAAGATATTGGAAGAGTTTTCAGAAGAGGAATTAGATGATATTAGGGACAGATTAAGCATTTTGCCGCCTCTAGGCACCAACATCTAGCCACCCCCAGGTGGCTTTATTAATTTATAAATTTGATAAAAGGGAAAGTGGATTAAAAAAATGATTTATATCCCCGCATTAGCTGGTAAAAACATTCAATAATCTTTAATAAGTAATATAAATAAGATACATTTTCAACTGTATATTTAAAATATCATTTCTGATAAAATATGCTTGGTGTAACTCGTGCAAAAACGTTAGATTAACAAATCTCAACTATATGAAAATGTTCTGTCTTGAAAAATTTGTCGCCCCCTCAAATTTGCCGCCTTAGACAAGTGCCTTGTTTGCGTATGCGTTAATACGTCACTGGTTAAGGAAAAAGAATTGAAGAAATGTGATTATATCTGTTAAACGGGTTTCTGATAAATGAAGTTGACAGAAACTGGAGTGAGTTACGAAACGACAATACATGTTTGACAGATTCGAAAAGAAAGTATTTATCAATAAAGAAATGTATCAACGAGCTGAGAGAATGGTTTGCAAAGCAAACACTGAACGGAAGTAAAAGAATTAAGCGTACATGTGGTAGGAAATAATCCAAAGAAAAATATAGTTAAGAAAGCAAGTAGTGAGTATGATAACTTTTTTGGTCGAATTATATGACCGATATCTGTTTGTTTTCTAATTTTGTACCATCATTTTTTGCATTTTATTTTTGTAAGATTATGTTTAAAACTTGCTAAAATAATTAAAATTAAAAGAATTATAGATATTTCAGAGGATCGCAAGAAATTGCAAACCTTTGTTTTGAAATGTAATATTATCGACAATCAACAGTATAAAAAAGATTATATCACATTTTACGAATGTAGAAGATTGCAAGAAAGATCTCTTCGTCTATCTATGCACTAAATAATTGATATTTTAACAATAATAGTACAGTGATAATATAACATGATAAACTGTTTCATAAATATTTTTTTTATTTATTAAATGCTGAAAATTAAATTTCATTCGATCATTTTTTTCATATTCGACTATGATTGGTCAATTTTTTACAATGAGCGATATCCAATGAGAGCTCTGCTTTACATCGTCACGTGAGACAAAGCAGAACTTTCATTGGATATCGCTCGTCGCCCATCGCGTCCAGTACGCAATAGGCATAAAGCCAGAAACACAATAAAAGCACAGGCAATAGAAACAAGGAATAAAAGATTTCAACCTATCAAAAAGCGTCCATTCTAGTATACACGGTATCTGATAGGTTGAAATTTGTTATTTTTTGTTCCTATTGCCTGTGCTTTCATTGTGTTCCCGGCTTAAGTGGACCGTAGCCACAATCGTAATGAAGCCACAATAGAAGGAATAACGATCCCAACCTATTAGAAACCGTGTATTCCGGTGTATCCGATTTCTGATAGGTTGTAATCTTTATTTCTAATTCCTTATTCCTTCTGTTGTGGATGAACCTTAATCTGGTTTTACCTTCTATTGGGTGTATTCAGTACCACGACCGCTCACTGACTACATTTACACGGTTCGATTTACGCCGAAGTTATAACATCGATGTTACGAAATTGGCCAATCACAGTCATTCTATTCTTCAGAAGAATAGCTATGATTGGCTAGTTCCATACATCGATGTTATAACTTCGACATAAATCAGGCCGCGTAAACGTAGTCATTGACTGGTAAAACCGTTTTAACAAAAACCGTTTTAGTTAAAACCGGTGTTAGATGTCCTGTAAACGTCTCTTAATACAGATGTTATTAAAACCGTTTTAGTAAATCCAAACCTCTTCTGAAACAATTTTAAACATTCAATGCAACATTTTATAGATTAGGTTTCTTTAATTTACTTACGTTTCATGGTGATTTGGCAAAGAGAAAAACGATGCGTCCTTATTGTTGTGCGAGTCATTCGGACAATTCTCCACTCTGCAATGCACCATTTTCGTTTTCCGCTTCGGTTTTCATCAAAGAATAGATCTCACTATTCTTTGGGTTTTCTAGTTATACAGCACTTTTGAAATCACACATTAGTCTTTCCGTAACGGTCCCGGGATTCTCAGTATTCCTGCGTCCCGCTACACACACACACACACACACACACACACACACACACACACACACAACACACACACACACACACACACACACACCGCACGCACGCACGCACGCACACAACAGTACCGTGCTGAAGTACTAGGGCGGCGCTAGCGTCGAAGAATACGCTACGCTTCCACTCTATCTTATCCTCTTTGAAAACTACTAGTATTACTACACCATTACAAGGAGCAAGTTGAAGAAGCAGAGGCAAGTATACGGATCCTGTTATTATTTCATATTGCTTCTCATAATAGCGTATCTACGTATGTGATGTATTTGCTCTTCGAAATTCTGATACGTTTTTCGATAATTCTCGCTGAGTAATATTAAGTGACGGAACGCAAGCAACTTCGCATCGGTGCGATTCGCGCGCGTGTCGCCGTTTCATAACCTCGTGCCGGACGGGTGAGAGCAAATTCGTGATCATACCGTTGAACTGTAGAGAGAACGTCGGAAGGAGGTCAAGTTCGCGCGGTGTCGTTCGTCAGAAGAAGAAACTCCGTTCTGAGAACAGGTGGAAAGTCGTAGAAGAACATGAGCCCATTAAACAGAGGTCCTCTTATGGCGCCCAGATTGCCACCGGCCGGCATGCGGCAGCTTCCGCCGCCCAGATTCGCAGGTAGACTAGCACCACATGGCATGCCACCGAGGATGTTACCGCCGCCGAAAAACGGTCCGGGTGGACCGCGGCAGAGACTGCCGCCACCGCGGCCCGCTAGCGGCGTGTCTCGGCCTAACGGCATGCTGCCGAGGTTCCCCGGCGGTCCCAGAGCGCGCGGCATGGCGCCCATCGTGCCCTCGATGGGACCGCGTGTTTCCGGATTACCACGCGGGCCTCCCATGCGGCCTTGGCCGCGACGGATGCCGCCGCTACCGCAGATGATGCCGCCTATAAGGGTCAGATACGGCACGGGCAACGGGAATGCGAAGGGCAAGGCGATGGGTAACGCAAAGAAAGGCAAGATCGAAGTACGTACTCTGGTCTCCGTTGTGTTGTTAAAATTGCTTTTATCCTTGAATCACATTAGTCTTGATAAAAATATTATAAACGAGCTCTCTTGATTGATTTGATGATCACGTACAAGTATGTATTGTATGTACAAGTAGTACTTGTATTTATTCCTGACAGTACAGATTTATAAGCAAGAGCATTTCTGGAATGTTTATGATGTATATAGTATATATTTTTGTTACATTCGAAAACTAATTTGATAAAATTAAATTTTCCTTTTACAGTATATAGTAATTAGTAATGTATACATAGTTAAATTCGAAAAAAAATTTTGTATTAGTTATTAAGTTTTTGACTCACTTAAATCTTATTGAAGAAATATAATTATTTAGGAATTAGAATTAAAAAAACCATGGATGACAGATGAAATTCGTAATGAGATTCAAAGAAAAAACAAATTGTACGCTAAGGCAAAAAAGAACAAAGATGCAGTAGAATGGGAGGAATTTAAGGATCTTCGAAACAAAGTAACGAGGATGATAAGAGATGCAAAAAATGAATTCCTTGCAAAGCATCCTGAACAGGTATCGTTTTTGTCACTGTTATGACAAAATTATTTTAACACTTTATATTTTAAGTTTTTCTAACTTTTCCAGAGAAAAAATTAATATAGCATATGATTGCAGTAATGTTACTTTTACAACTTGGCTTGTTTTAAACAATATCTTAGTGACACTTTTATTTTCTGTTTTTATTCCTTGTCTATATCACTCAATGTAAATTTATTAATTATTATTTTAAACCGTGTATGTGGTAATTGGTGTGTGTCTATGTATGTGTTAATCAGTTTACGTATATGTATAAATTATTTTATGGGTGAAAATAATTTTTTATGGGTGATAATAATTTTTTGCATGTTATCTCATGCATGTGAAAAATAAAATTAACTTTAATTTTTTTTTAAATTAAAAATGAAGGGTAGTGCATAATTTTGTCTTATTTTAGAAAAATAAAAGCATAAATTGTTTTCTAATAAGTGGGTTACAACCTTTGTAATTATTGAGTATGATATTTTTTTTTAATATTGAAATTATATATTATAATAAAATATGAATAGCATGTATAACAGTATGGCATGCGTTAATACAGAGTGAAATAGGTATATTTTTTGAAGAGTCGCGAGATATTATATATACAGTGCATCTCAGATTTATAATTTTTCCATGGAACATAAAGATTATATACTGTACATTTTGTTCCTTGATAACAAATGCGCAATATAAATTAATAGACAAGATATGAGAATGAGTTAATAGCAAATATATTATTATAAGACGTACATTTTTAATTCTAAACATATATTCTTTAAACGTATGTAGTCATTGTGTGACGAAAATCCGGCCTGTTTCCTTCAACGTTGATGGCTTACTTTGATTTTACAGGGTAATCAGAAAACAGATGATAGCAATACGAATGAATCCAGGGGTGTTCAGAAAACTGTGAATTCAACTGAACAATCAGAACAAATGGAGCAAAAGGAGGAGACGCAGCCTTCCAGCAAACAGGCACAGTCTTAAGCTTAAGAGGCTACTCCTCCTATTAAAGAATTCTATAATTTAAATAATACACAACCATCTGTTTTCAAACTTCAGAACGATTTGATCCTTATGTTTTGATATTTAGCAAATTTTTTTACCCGTATCATCGCTATAAGTTCTATAGGATCTTTAATATATGTAGATAGTTTCCACCTCTTTCTTCATAATTTTCGCAACATAACAATCGCGTAATGTTTTTTGGATTATTTACATCATAAGTGTATGCTATTTAAAAACGTGCTGATGAAGATAATGTTGAGAATGTAGCAGCTAGTTGAAATAGTTTTAGATCAATTAGGCCATCTGTGAGAATTACTTTATCTCTTTTTTTATGTATTATATATTGATTGTATCTACTCATACATAGTATCGAATATAGTTCATTACTTAAGCTCTTGTAATATGATAATTAACTAGATGTAATAATTTTTATCAGGCATGTAAAAACTGGCCGCTTGTGAATAAATTTTTCTCAAAGACCTTTCCATATCTAGTATACATGGCCAGTATACAGTGCCGCAAGCTATACTATGTGTAAAAAATAGTAACAGAATTATGGTATCTAATCTGCAACATTAAAATAGATAACGAATTTATAGATTATTTACGTGAAACGCGTATTTTAATGTAAACAAAAAAGTCTGACATAGCTTGTGGCTCTGTTAATTAGTAATATCACTTTTATGATGTGAAATGATTATGAAATGATCATGTTTATATATATATATGTATCATATTTAAGGTATTTGTTCGTTTCATAAATGACTTCCAGAAAATATACAATGACAAAAGAAAATGAATTTGTAATTGAAACAAGTATTATAAGAATAAATCATATTTCTATAAGTTCTAATTCTCTGGTGTTCCCCATCATTCTATCATTATAAATCACTAAAATGGTACGTGTTGAAATAATCGTTCTGAAATATGAAAATAATTTTTTGTGAATTTTTACAATTTAATAATTTACATTTAAAGAGATTAATGAAGCAAGGATGATTGATGCAAACTTATGATATATGCATAAATCTCATGCTAATATATGAAATCTAAATAGAAATGCGTTAACATGTATATACATTATTAATACTTATGATATACAAAAAAAATACAATTGTGCGATTACAAAAATTTTTTGTATTTTATTATATATAATTTATAAAATATTTCAACGAGTTTTTGATGTTGCGAGTAAAGTACTATACAAGCTGTGCATATTACTATTGTATGCTTCGACAAAATAAGTGCAATTTATAATTGTTTAAATAGTTTAAAAAGGAGTAAACAGTGAAAGGAAGATCTGTGCCTCGCTATCTCATAGATGTAAATATATTTATATATATATAGAATTTCTGAATACCCCATAGCTTCAGATATCATGAACAATAATTATTTATTAATATATGAAGGTAATCATTAATAATAGATGTACAGTACAAGATTATGGTATTATATTTGCTTATAACTAAAGATAAATGGAATATAAATTGTAAAGCATAGAATTAAGAATGACTATTCAACGTATTGTTGATATGTTACGAGCAAGTAAATGTATACCAAGATCTTCGTGTGAAAAAGGAAGGTGACGATTTTTAGGTTCGTCTGTATCCAGATAGTGAAGATCTATACGATATGAGAGATGAAAATTATGTCAGTTCTGATGATGACAACACGACTTATTATTGCGAGGTCTGTGATAGAGATTTCCCATCCGAGAATGATCTCTCTAGTCACAAACGCACACATATGCTTTGTGGGATTGATGGCTGCACGTTTTCGGCGTATCCCTCGCTTGTTGAAAAACATATTAGTATGCAGCATCGTTCTGGTTTGTACCAAAAACTGAAGGATTTATCGACACCAGAAGATATCGAAAAATGGATAACAGAACGAAAAAAGTAAGTTTAATAAATATCAAAATGTAAATGCATTAATGAGCACAAGTAACAAAAATTTGTTTTTTCTGAATAAAAAAAAAGGAGGTATCCCACTGAAGACAACATAAAATTACGTAAGGCAGAAGAGCTAGAAAAAGTACAAAGGGGAGAAGTAATCAAGCAGAATTACAATATACGATCGAAAACAAATAAGACGACGAATATACGTGAGAAAAAACGCAAGCCTCGCAAACGGCATATACGCGAAATTAATAGCAATTGTATCCGTACAGAAAAAACATATAGAGGTTTACGCCCGTTTGCTGGAATAAGTAAGTTATGGGAATACATTTGTTATGAATATTATTTGCTTTATAATATTAGTACATAGAAAAAATTGAGATCTTTCAAATGTATTAGATTTATTGACATTTTTGATTCTATATTAAACCAATTGTGCAATTTGTAAAATTAGCTTATGTAAATTACAGTCTAATCAGTTTATATTAAGAGGATTTTAAAGTGATAGAAATATCGACATCACACATTAAAAAGAACCCCGAAATGGCTGTACAAATTCTAAAATTCTTTTTATACAATTAAAATACACGCAAAAACGGTGCGGGATGGACGACGATTTAACGCGAGAAAATCGAAAAAAGTTAAAAAATTGCAGGGATAAATATTTATAACTTTTTTTTTCGATTTTCTCGTTAAATCAACCATTTCATATCTTTTTTGTGCGTATTTTAGTTGTGTAAAAAAGTTTTATAATTTGTATAACCAAATCGTAATACTTTTTAACCGGTAATGTCGATATATCATTCTGTTACTTTTCTCCTTAATGATTTAAAATTTTATTCTATATTATACACAAAATATCAGATAAAACTAATTTTCTATAGCTGATTTGCAAGAAGAAACGGGTGCGGTTTACTTAGATGAACAGGTGGAACAAGCAAATTTCTGTGGAAAAGATATTGATAATATTTCGGACGAAGATGATATACCGCAAACATCTACGGTACCAGAATATGTATCGCAAACATCTACGGCACCAGAATATGTATCGCAAACAGCAGCAGAGTCCACTAATTTACCAACTGTAACCAGTTCGCTTATACCTAGTTTAGTAGCAGATTATGAAAGTGAAAACAGTGGTAAGTAATGTGCAAATCTTAACGTTTATTAATAATCGAATATGCATGTATTAGGCTTTTATCATCTATATTTTTTAATATAAGAATGTCTTGTGAAATTTATATAATTATTAAAAGTTAATTTTTTATCACCCTGGCGGAAAAAAATTTTTAAGTACAGAAAAAGTACAGAAAATCTACATAGATTGAGACAAAATCTTAGAAATTTCTAATTTTTCGTAGATATTCGTAGTGAGACGTAGAGGCGTTGTTTGAGGGCGGAGGATTTCTAGGTTTTTCAAAGGAATAACGTCGCTCTACATCCCACTATGAATATCCATGAAAAACTAATAATTTCAAAGATCTTGTCTCAATCTATGTAGTTTTTCGTAAAACTTTTCCGCCAGGGCAGTTATTTCATACAAAATATTATTTCATACAAAGCAATTTAAGATACCAATTTTGTCTTTAGATGATGGTCCAGAAGAAGTATCAATAAAAAAAAGAAAAAAAGAGGAGAATCTGCAGAATGAGATTACAGAAAATATAATTCATGAAGAAAATTCCACGCAAGTTTGTAAAGAGGTTTCTAATACGCAGTCTTGTACCGACGCAGATGATGAATTAAATAATAAATTTCAAAATACAGTCGCTACAAATCAAAATAAGCAAAACCACGAATCAAATCGAATGATTAGTAACAAAAATGAGAAATTTTTTCTACGTAGATATCATAATCAATTGTTAGAAAAATTGCTTTCGCGTTCTATACAACATGAGAGAAATTTAATTTGCCAATGTGTGAAATATATTATAGAAAACAATTTCTTTGATATAAATTGATCTAAAATATGAATTATGCAAAAAAATTTAGAAACAATTTCATATATATAGACTTCAATTTTTTTTTAGCTATTAACATATTTTGGTACAAAATGTTAGAAATATTTATTAAAGAAAGTATCTGTGATGTTTATTAAACCTATATATTATATATTTTTCTAATTATACTTTCTAATAAATAATAATTATGTAATAAATTTATTATGAATCAAAAGAGTTGTGGAATTATTTTTATAAACTAGTCAATCGTTTAGTTTAATTAATTTATTTATTTCATGTTATACATAAAGTTAGGTATGTTTCTTTTTCTTCTTCGTGTGTTTTTTGTCAGATTCTTGTATGCTATCATCTATTGAAACTCTTTTTTCACCAGTCTTTATAGAGATAAGATGTTTACTATGCTTGCCCGATAACGCACTGGTCCATTCCACTTCTGATCCTTTGATAGCATACTGCTCCAAATTTTCTTTCTTCAGTTTCTCTAATTCTACTTTTTGTTTAATTTTTAATTCCTATAATAGAGAATGTTATTTTTATATATGTTACATAAGTGGAAATTTAGAGAATAAATTATGCAAAATGCAAACCTTAGCTGCGCTTTCTAATTCCTTGCGTAAATTTTGACCACCTAAAGGATCCAATTTTATTTCTTCATTAATTGATTCTTTGGGCAACATAGTACTCTCTATGTATTTTTCCGCGACTCTGTTGAAATATTGGATCGATTTACGTATTATACGATTGAATAGACCGAGCAACTGTGAAGACGGTAGATTTAATTCCTCTGCCAATTTATCGACAGTTTTATGTTGTAAGCCCAAGCCAAGTAGAATCGCCTAAAAATTGTTGCGTGTTGTATAGAAAGAACAGGATTTAGTACGAATTAAAATACTTAATATGAAATAAAAATATTCGGAATATCCTACCGATTGCACTGCTGAGAAATGAGTGTCTCCCATCATATTTAAGAAATATAGACGTGTTAACGATGGCACCAAATCCATAATCAAATGATAATCTGCCATATTGTTACTATACATTTGTAACCGCTTCAAATCATACGATGTAAAATAAACGTTCATTGTTTCTTTACTCAATGCTGAAACAGATATTTAGAATTTAATTTAGATCCATAACCATGTTAATTAAGGGATCTTCATTAAAATTAATTTCGCAGAGTATATGAGAGAAATTAGTCTAATATGTATAACGCACGTTGAAACGATATGCATCAGTTTTAATAGAAGTTGATTAGCGTACGAAGTAAATATTAATAATTTATTCTGTAGTAGTAACAGTGATAATTGATACGTAATAAATTGTAATAATTAATACACTTACTGACAGATTCTAGTGATATTTTGTTGATTAATATGCTTAATGCAAGTGACGCTGTATAAGTGTTGAATGAATAGGAGAGCAGACTTAAAAATCGCCGACGAAAATCGCTCCAGTAAGCTTGCAGCCACTTATCATTATCCTGTTCCACGTTGATTTTACAAAGCATTATGCAAGAATGTTCTCCCGTTATATCGTTCGCCGTTTGTCTGAAAAATCACATAAATTTGAGATTGGTTGACCTTGTATTTTATCACATTGGTACACACCTTAAATACACGGGTACGAAATTGGATCGCTTCCAAAATTTCAATAGATGTTCAGTGATTCCGAAAGACACTCCAATGTAATCCAGATGTTCGGGATGTCTTTCGCTCAATTTCAACAGAAGCGGTGGCAGTGAACTGCGCGGCTCTGTAAGCAATTGCAAAGAAAACATTAATATATAATAAATCGTATTTTGAAACTAATATTTTATTTGAAAAGGAATTCTGTTAAAAACTTTTGTTAAAAAATTCTGTTTAAAAATAGAAAATGTCTACAGATGAACGGATAATACCGATAGTTTCTTGTAATAAACCAACTGCTTCGTCGGGAATATTTTTTATTTCTGTCATTGGCTCTTCTATAACATTTTCATTGATATTTGGCATTTTCATCTCGTAATATTGCTTCAACAGTTGTAATGCACGTCTACCGTAGCCCATCTGCAATTTATTGTTTTTTTTAGCAAATTCACATAATTTTAGATCGAAAACTTTCAATAAGTTATAAAAGAAAAATATATACTCTTTGGTAATCAGGATGTGTAGCAATCCTAACAATGCGCGCTCCAGACAATACTGGAAAATCTTCATCTTGATATTGCTGAGCGATCGTCCAAGGTATTAAGTCGCCTGCTGCTCTACGACCTCGTGAGAGACCATCGTTTATGCTAGTTTTACTGACTTGGCCTTCTAAGCAAATCTATATTAAAACATAAATTGTAAAAAATGTAAAAAATATATCTCTTTGTATAAAATAAATTTGTTATAAAACAATGAAAAGTAATTCAGGAGATGCAGTCTAAAAAAATATTAATTTTTTAACATTTAATGCTTATCTTAATGAAATGCAAAATATCAGAAATTTATTTTAATTGAGATATAGTTAGATTTAGATTTCATAGAATTATAGTTACTTGAAGAACCACTAATATTTCAGGTAAAGTCTTTCTGTTGGAATCTACAGGTCCTAAGAGACAGAATAGATGATGTGCAGGTGCGTCAGACATCATTTGTAAATCATTAGGGGTATTCTAAAATATATTAATAGTTAATTAGGTTAATATTAATAAAGTACAATTTCATTAAAAAATGTTTTTTATGCAATACATACTTTATAATGCGATGCAACATACAGAGAGACCAATTTCTGCAGAAACAGTTCAGAAGCCTTGTGATAAGAGAATAATGTATCTCTGAGGAAGATTAGAGAGAAGTACGTATTATTTTTTAAGTTATAAGCATCTAAAAAATTACTTGTATCAATAAAAAAAATACCTGTTTATATAATACAATTGACATATATCGGGAGGAGGACATCCAGAAAGAATGGGGGCGTGCATTGTAACATTCAGACAAAGTAAATCGCACAGCCATTGCTCTATAGCATCACCCGGCTTGTAACGTATTGACTCGTCGAGAGTAAGTTCATATAATTGTCTTCCGATAAGAGTTTTCTCATTTTGCTCCTTTTCATTTTTCCCATTGTGACTATTTGACCCAGCAGTTTGCGTTCTCAATTGCTGTAGCAATTTGAGTGATAAAGACCGACCTGTACCTTCATATCTATAAATATTAACGAATAAGACTTGATAATCTATCGATATTTCAGGAAAGTTTGAGTGCTTTACCCATTTATAGTTGACGCAAGAAATATCAGGTAAGGTCCAAGCATTGCTTTGACATAAGGTAACGGAATTGCTGCTGCCTCATCGATCACAAGTAACTCTGCTTGATTTAACTTGTGGGTGTCTGTTGGATGTATATACTGTACAAAAAAAAAACGAAATAATGTTAATTTGTAATACTGTGAAAAAGTCTGCATATCCTGTTACAATCCAAAATAAATATGTATGAATATATTTTTAAAATATTTGTGTATATAAAAAAAATTCAGTTTTTTTAAAATAGAATTACACACCTGAATTGTTTGGCGATGATCTCGGAATACATTTACGCGGACAGTGGCCTTGTTAAATTCTGGATTTGTGGATTGCACTAAACCATAGTCGAGATGTTCCTGATATCCCAGAGCATCAAACCCTATGAATATACAAATTGTATTTTATACAATCAACGATCTCTTACATTAAAAAAATGACGATTAGTCTAGTAAACTTACCCTTGAAGACAAATTCAAAGAGAGTGTTCAAGTTCTCCGGACTGGGACTCGAGATGTATATATTAGAGTATCCAAAAGTAACAGCTCCAGCGATAGCAAGTCCCAACGCAGCGGATTTTCCACGTCCTCTAGCTGCAGTCAGCGATACAGTAGACCTCAAAGTTTTCTCAGAAATACATTCGATAAACTTAAGGACCGCTTTTGCCTAAAAATATTTAAAAATCATATTTAAATATTTAACATAAAGTTAGAAAACATTTAATAATAATCTTGTTATATATAATCAACACCAAAACAGCTGATAGTGTGCATTTCGTTAGAATTGTCGATGGTGCCAATTTGGTAATTTTCCATTCTTGCTTTAAGGAAGTTATTTTGATATTATTTGTATTAGAATTATCATTAATGTTATTAAAATTATTTGTATTATGTTTACATTTTTAATATTATAGACTGCATATGTAATACAAAAAAGAAAAAAAATTGAAATAGCAAAGTGGCACATCAGCCGTTCTAGTGTTAATTTATTTTTATGTTAATTTACCTGGTCGACTGTTTTACAGCAATTGATTAATGCAGATACAGGCTGAGTGTCCTGTAGACTTTCCTTTAAAGCATCCAAACTCGACTGTTCCTCTGAAACGTCCGATTTAGGCACAGGTTCTATCCTTAGATTGTGAGAGGAAATAGGCAATACATTAAGTTGGTCATCAACGACCAAACATCGAGTACATGAAGCCAATGATAGCAAAAATCTCTCATTAAATCGACATACTATATCCTAAATTGATAAGATAAATGAAAAATTATATTAATTCATATATATGGAAATTATATATTAATTTATATAATATTAATTTTATACAATGTTTCAAATGTATTTTTAAAAATGTTATATTACCTTATGAGCTTCAGTACGGAATCTCTGATGAACATCCATGTTCATTGTATACAACTGCTTCAAAGAGTTCATAGATTGTAGTAAAAATACAATAATTCCACCACCCTCTACAGTTTCAATAGTACGTGCCAATAGGTTTGGTGTAATCGCCTCAAAATCCTAAAATCATTATACATAACATTATAAGGAAACTGTAAAATAGATACGCGAGAAAAGATAAGATTATACATACCTGTAATATACACATGCCATATGTATTACCTAATATTCTGTGTGTCTCGTTATAATAACAGTAACGAATATTAGTGGAAATAACAAACAATTCAAATGGATTATCTTCGTTAACTTCCAATTTGCCTGACTTGATTTTCTTCTGTAATGATTTCATTCGTTTCTTTCTATGACTACTAAAACCTAGGTCTTTTTTGTAGCACCAAAGTACAGAAGGTCTAGCTTTGACGACAGTCTTGGATAACATATGGTGCAACAATACTACCTGAAAGAATATTTGTTTTTTAATAGATATATATTTTAAAGAATATACAGTTTTTTAAGACTTTAGAATCTAAACATTCAAGTCAGTGTATGACAATAAGCAAACTATGTTTTTGAGATCTTTATAAGTTTCTTCAAATAATAAAGAAGTTTTTAAATGATTTCATAATTAATACATTTTTTAATCAAGTTTTTTTATTCATTTTAGCTGTTGTAAAATTAAATCAACAACAAAACAAATTTGTAAAAAGGTTATTTGGCTCACTTGATCCCTCGCTTTCTCGCCGACAATGGCGAACAGCGTTCTATGTCCCATAGAAACACCATTTTCTATCAGAACGCGTATCCGATTGTCTATTTTCCTACGAACCATTTTGGCAGAAATATCGTGCCTAAATGCACATCAAAATTGTTCAGGATCACGTCAATCGACCTCGTGGCTCGTACAAGTAATCGAGTACGCAACATACAATCCACACAAGGTATATCCACTATATGTTCACTACGAACTCATACAAGGAACAATTCCCACCACAAGTTCTTCTCGTTTTTTGATAGAAATAACACAGGAATAATGGGTGCATTTAGTACTACACCGCTCACTGAGCGCTCAGTGAGTTCTTGCATCTGATTGGCATATTCCGTTAGAACTAAAAATATAGACCAAACAGATTCAAGAGCTCACTGAG